AGGTCAGGTATCTATTAGATTCATTAAAAAAGGAGGGGTAGGATTGGTGTACAGGGGGCAATGTTTTAGTATGATGGCTTTTTTTTAAAATTGAGATCTAATCTAGGCTTTAAATTTGCCTTTATCTCATTGGAGTAAATTAAATAGAAATGGAATTGAGCTGCAGTGAAATAGAAATTCATTGACTCCTGGATCATCTTGGGAGGAAATATATCCCCTTGCAACTCTGACACTCTAAGAAAGGCCAGTCATAAGATCATTATAACCTATTTTGTGACTACTCCCTGTGAAGCAAGCTGCCCTGCAGAATGGGTCTTGTGCCAGAGAGCAAAGGTTTTGATGCCTGTGCACTATTCAAGAGCTGAGACATGCTTTGAGAGCTTCATGCACTGTCTATAATATGGCTGCTTGTTCTATAGCTATTTCATATAACATTCCATATAACATTCCAGAATCATTTGTGGCTAAGGAGCTCTAGGTTACCTGCAGAGGTGCAGGCAAGTTCTTAACTTAATTTGACCTCTTGAAGTTCCTGTGGTGGTCATATTTATCTCACTCTGAGGCTTTAGGAAAATTGAAAGGCAGCAGACCACTCTCCAGGGCGATGAGTTTTTTTCTTATTGTTCTGTGGAAATAAATCCTAATCTTCGAGATTTCTGAAAGCATCTTAGTTTCTGTAGCCATCTACCTTGTAGCTTTCATCTCTAAAAAGAGGGAAAATCTGGTTAGTCAGGGGAAAACGTATGGTCATCAACAGCCTTCCTCCTCCGTTTTGGATTGTCACTGAATATCCCTTAGAAGCACACAGCTTGACAGTACGCCAGAGGAACTTGAAATAAATCCTGTGTTTTCCTAGGTTTCTCTGCTTTTGCGGGCAGTCAATGCCGTATTTTCAGGTTTCAGAGTAGCAGCCGTGTTAGTCTGTATCCACAAAAAGAAAAGGAGTACTTGTGGCACCTTAGAGACTAAAAATTTATTTGAGCATAAGCTTTCATGAGCTACAGCTCACTTCATGGAAGTCTATACCTTCAGACAGTTGGGTTTTAGAAAAGGGTTATCCCAGAGCCCCTTCCCAGGGATCCCTATAATGAGACACTGTTAAGAGAAAAAGTCTCCTTTTAAATATAGAGGGCTGTAGAAGGGGTGCCAGAGCCGTCTTCATTTTTGTCCCTAATATGTATACTTAGGTCTAAGACTTCAGTGTGTGTGTCTCCCCCTCACTGCCTCATTGTGTGTGTTTGGGGGAGAAGGATGTCTGTGTTCCATTCTCAACCCCTGAAAAGTTGAACAGCAGCTCTGAGATTATATTTGGAATATGTTATAGCTATGGTACTGTATTCTGCTACTGTGAAGCAATAACTATTGATAAAGGGTGCATTTTAAATGGCCAGCCATTATTTCTAATGTAATTTTCTGTCATAACACAATTAGTTTTTTAAATGGCTATTGCTGTATTTTTTCTTGTCTTCTACATTCCAGGTATATATAGATTTGTTGAAAGGGAGTTAAGTATTGGTGTGTTGCCTATAGATATCTTAACATCAAACATAGTGAAATAGCAAGGCTATAAAAATTGCTTTGAAAAATGTATCTATTTTATGTTGCTGATTACTGGATCAGCGAAATGATCAACTGTATAACATGGCTCACTTTTTCCTGGAAGGAACAGCTTACTTTTGAGGTTGTCCATAGGTTGGATGCTTAACAGGTTTTTTGGTTGTTGTTGTCTATGGACTTGAAGCACAAACTCTTGGAACCAGCAATGATTTCTGCCCAGCTTTCACCTCTGAGTCTTGCTTTTGTCACTCTCAACATGTGACATCTGTGTCTCCTCACCATGGAGGATCTGAGTTACTACTGATCTTGGAAACTTGGGAATAGACTTGCTACTGACGACTGCTTGTACACCACCATCCTCCTTTGCCCCAGTAGCTACCTCTCCTCTCTGAATGGAAATCCTTTGACATAGCTGCCCCTATTGCCCTGTCTTCCTTGGCATTAAGTGTATTCAGCCCTGTGCCTTCCATCCACAGAGCTCAAAGGGATTCACAAATGTCAGTTGGTTAAACCTTTCAAATACCCCTGTGAGCAAGGACAGTATTATCCTCTTTGTAGAAAGGGAAACTGAATTACGGGATGATGAAGTGACTTGCCCAAAATCACACAATGGATAACATTGCGGAGCAGTCACTAGTACTCAATCTCCTGACTTTCGGTCCCATGTTGCAACCTAATGACTGTGCTCTTCCCAACAGCTCTGTCAAGCTCTTTGTCTACATCAGGGGCCTCAAACATGCAGAGGCCTGCGGGGTTATTTCTGGCAGCCTGCCAAGCTCCCTGTGCCCTCCCCTGCCCCTCTGGAGTTATTTGCTGTGGGCTGCCAAGGTCCCCTCCCCCCAGCGCACTGTGTCCCCGCTCCTCTGCCTACCTCCAGGTGCTTCCCGTTTGGAGGCGCTTAGCACTTTCCAGGGGGGAGGGGCGGGGAGCCACACACTCAGGGGAGGAGGCAGAGAAGAGGTGGGGCAGGGGTGGGGATTTGGGGAAGGGGTTGGAATAGGGGAAGGGAGGGGGCAGAGTTGGGGTGGGGACTTTGGGGAAGGGGTTGGAATGGAGGTGGGGAAGGGGTGGAGAGGGGGCGGGGGGTGTCAATGATGTGGGCCCTCGGGCCAATGTACTAGTCCTCATGTGGCCCTCCTGGTGATTGGAGTTTGAGATCCCTGGTCTACATCAACTTGCCATTCCTGCTACTGCCCTTTGAATGTGACTGCTGCTTATGTGGAGACTTACATTCCCTTCACCAACAGAACTCCTTCATCATACTGGATGTATCACTGGTTTCAGAGTAGCAGCCGTGTTAGTCTGTATTTGCAAAAAGAAAAGGAGTACTTGTGGCACCTAAGAGACTAACAAATTTATTTGAGCATAAGCTTTCGTGAGCTACAGCTCACTTCAGCATCCAGTGAAGTGAGCTGTAGCTCACGAAAGCTTATGCTCAAATAAATTTGTTAGTCTCTTAGGTGCCACAAGTACTCCTTTTCTTTTTGTGGATGTGTCATTGGTTGACATCTCCTTCATTAGAGACACAAGGTGGATGAGGTAATATCTTTTATTAGACCAACTTCTGTTGGTGGAAGGTACACTCTTTCGAGCTAAACAGAGCTCTTTCAGGTTTGGGGTCATCTATCTTGTGTCTCTAATACCATGGGACCAACACAGCTGCAACAATGCTACAAACAATCATTAGGTGATCTCAAGCTCTGAAAGTGGATGTTTAAGCACTGAAGTGCCAGAAAATGAAGACGTGTGCATAGGTGCTGGAACTGGGAGTACTGCCGCACCTCCTGGTTTGAAGTGGGTTCCATCATCTACAGGGTTTATAGTTTGGGTTCAGTGGCTCTCAGCATCCCCTGATACAAATTGTTCCAGCACCCCTGCATGTGTGTGTTTGTCTTCATACGTTGGTAGTTACTTATATCTGCCCTTTTGCAGGAAGGTGCACTGTTACCATAAATGATGCAAACTACAGATTTTACTGCAATATTACAGTTAAGACCACCCAAGCACTCAAAAAAAGGAAGTCCAACAGTTGTATTTTTTTCCTAAAACATTAACTTGGCCTCGTTGTATATCCTATATGTTTTACTGGTGTCCTTACTAAGTATGTTAGGGTTTATGTTATATAAAGGAATCTTCACATGTAGCCGGTTTTGACGTAGGCATCTATCTGAGGATTATGGTTAGAATCTTTTAAAACAGGAGCTGTGTGGTATGTGTGTGAGAGAGAATTGTTGCCGAATTCTCAAATAGCAGCAGGGACTTTGCTCAACCATATATTTTGAAATAAAAGTTCACTTTTGGTCAAAGACCAAACAAGGAAAATTTCAGGCTAAAATGTGTGTGTGTGTGTAAGCAAGGTTATAATGGAAATCCATTTTTCAGCTAGTGCAGGCACTAGTAGCTGCCACTTATAATACACATTCTCTTTGTGTCTAGAACAGTTCCTTTCTGAGCCAAAAAGGGGCCCAGTGATGCTCATGTGCATTGCAGTTGATGAAATGTGATTAAAGTTTTGGGAACGTGCATGCTGGCACAAATTAACTGACATAGGTAATAATAAAAAAATCATTTGAACTGACCATAAAGTAGTAAAAAGGTGGCATGGAAAAGATGCATTAGGTTACCTAGGCCATTCCCTGCCATACCTTTGCTGCAGCTCTGTACCAGGACTTCATTCTCTTACATACTGATACTTGTGTGTGTCCAGTAATATTCCTGTTTGTTTAGAGCCCTGGTTCAGTTTACACACTTGCTCTGCACTTAAAACATGGACCTTTCGCAATGCGATGGAGTATCTAATACTGTTACTAGACTACCATTTACTATATCAGATCATTGTGCCTGTAATATTTGTGTTATTGGAGTATCACCTTGTGTGATGGAGAGATTGCTGAGTTCTATGACTGTCAGAACTAAGATATTGGAAGTCTTTACTTGTGACAGGTTCTTATGGACTGAGCAGTTCAGTAGATGAAATCTGATTGTACATCCAGGAGATAAAATAGCTCCTCGGATTTTCCCAGATGATAGTAAAGATTTTACTCTTTGCTCCCTTGATAGTGCAATACCATCCTTATCTTTAAATCGTAAAATCAGAAAACTGGAGATGTTCTCAAGCTATTAAGAAGGGGCTTCCAGATCTGAAAGAGGGGATTTGATTTTGGTGGTAGTTTCCCATGTATTGTCTAGTAAGGCATGAGTGAATGGAGAATAAAGTAGGTAGCATATTTAAACTTTTTGGCCTTGTTTTTTAGATTGCGTTGTTAGGGATGCTGTCTTCTCAGTTATCCCTCAAGGAGGGAAAAGATTAGGGTGGTAGAAAACGGCTACGTCATAAAATCAACCCAAATGCAAACATAGTTGTGTTTGTTTGATTTTGTATTTTTTCTGTCTTGGAAAATCACTGCTGTCTTACGAGCTCTATTCTCTTTCCTGTTTGTTAGGTCTGCCTAACCACGGACAAACCAGACAAATGGTAAGAGAATGTTCATTTAAACCAAAAAGGGGGAGGGGGAGGGGAAAGAAAAACCCAAACCATAACTCTCTAGATAGGCTTTAAAAGGGTGATCTAGTTTTTTCTGCTTTTGCTATTCACAGTTATTCATACGTTATCACTTTTTTTTCTTCTTCCAGTTAGCCAGGATAGTTTTCTGTATGAAAAACAGATCTGGGTGTTTAAACGAAAAAAGACACAGTGCAATCTGTATCGGTGAAATTCTGTTTTGAATGGAACACTTTGTGTGTCCGCTCACACAGAAGCCAAGAGAGCGGCTGCTTACAGCAAAGCCCTGAAATGTGTTTTAGGTGGAGAGTGTTTCATTGATGGAAGGAGGGATGACATGACGGAAGGGTTTTTGTTTGGCAAATGGTTTCTTATTTTTTAGACAGTTGGTGTGCAAGTTGTCTGCTGAGCATGTGTGTGTTTTTAAAAGTAAAAAATCATTTTAGCCTTTCATCCGTTATGCTGAGAGCTTTATCAGGCGACAGAAGCAAATAGCCAGTCTAATTTATGGGTTTCTGGCAAAGTGCTTTTCATGGAGTGGTCCTGGGGTCCAGTTCACCCCCTTTCAGAGGGCCAGCACAAGGGTGAAGTGCCACTTAAAATCATAGAATCATAGAATATAAGGGTTGGAAGGGACCCCAGAAGGTCATCTAGTCCAACCCCCTGCTCGAAGCAGGACCAATTCCCAGTTAAATCACTTTAAGCCATCAAAATGGAATTTAATGGCACATAGTCCTTGTTCTAGGCCTCTTCAGTGGGCAGAATTTTGCACCCTGGAATTTTTGCCACAAAGCACCCTTTCATGGTATTACTATAGTGGAATTTGCCCTGTTTGGTAAATTGCCACAATGTACTAGTGTGAATGGAGGCACTCAGAAATTAGTAAATCTGCAGCAGGTCTGAATGACAGTTATTGAATAATGATTGAGTATTATCAAATCTAATGCTTCTGTCTTGGGTAGAGTATAATATCTTATGGCCAGGATTTAATTTTGTCATGCTATTTTAGTTGTAATAACGAAGCAGATCATTTTGTTTGTCACATTAGCATTTGATAAGTAGTGGTGAATTGTATTTTTAATTGAATTCAGTTTCACCTCTTACTGCAGAGGAGACTGGCTACTTGTTTGTGTCTGCTGTGTAAATAAACTCGCAGTGTAGTGGGAGAAAAATAAGAAATGGCCAAACCCCCGTCACCCGCAGGGATAAAAATGCTGAAATTTCTCACTGCTCTGCTTGTGTGATAAAATGTTCTACTGAAAATGAAAGGTCCGTGTTTCAGGATGTAACAGTTGAAGTGATTGCTCTGTTTGGGGAGAGAAAAGGTAGATTTCAAGCACAGTTCCTACTCTTGCCCAAGCATTTCCGAGAACTTTCACTGCCATCGTTCTCCTGACACTTAACACAATGGAGAAAATAGTCTTCACACAGAAATGAAAAGGACTCTCCTTCGGAAATCTGGAAACACGATATTTCAAACATTGTTCCCCACAGCACAAAAGTAAAAGCTGAATTTCTGAAAGTATTTTGATGGCTTGTTTTGGTGCTGAAATTGTCTGAAATACAAAGGAGGCAGAAAAACATTCAGAAAAAATAAATTGTCTATGCCATTTATGTAATATAAGTGTGGCAACTGCCTCCAGTTTTCAAGGAGTTAAGAAAGAAAAGGATTTAGCTCTTTTATAGACTTGTATTGTCTGAGGGAGAATCGGAAAATGCATCCAACTCTAAAGCAGCCAATGGCATTTATACTAGGGCTGCTACACTATATTGTCAAACTTTTTTGAGAGAGAAAATTGGGTTTTTGACTAAATGAAATTTTCACAAAGTATCTGATTTCTGCAGAAATTTTTAATTGTCAAAAAAACCCGTTAGATTCCTTCCCCTCGCCCAATATTTCAACTTGGGTATGCTAGCAGAGTACCTCTCGGGAGTTGTAATTTAGGTGCTTCATGTTTTCATTCTGCTGTTACAGGGTGGGCTTCCCAGTCACACTGCATCTCCTATGGTGCACCATGGCCAGGAACTCCCATGATACACCACCTCCCCTCTCCAAGAGGGGTGATCATCATGCCTTATGGGAGATGTACTCTTCCATGAGGCACTGGGGCTGAATTTCCTAATCAGAATTTTTGGTTTTTGGCTACAATTTTTCAGGATTCCAATTTTTCCCCCCAAATCAAAATTTTCCATGGACATCTTAGTTTTCACAAACTTATTTTCACTTTCATCAAAATTTTCTTTACCACTATAAAAAAACTTTCTGGACAATTCTAATTTGCGCACCTCAAACTTTCAGTGCCTGATTCTGCAACTTCAGTCCGTTATGAGCGCTGTTAATTTCTGTGGGATTATTCTAAATAGTACTTACCGTGAGTACAGGTGGCACAACTGGATCCCAAGTGATTCAGGACAACTATACTTGAGTAGTTTAATTCCTTGCATGCCCACACCTGCATCTTTATAAAGCTAGAACTATAATTTTCAAAGGAGTGGCAGGGGCTAACTTCATAAAGCGAGTTCAGTATATGTGGGGGCATCAGAATAAGACCTATCACAGTGAGACCTTCTAATGATCACCTTAAGGTTTCAAGTATCGGGGTAGCTGTGTTAGTCGGTATCCACAAAAACAACAAGGAGTCCGGTGGCACCTTAAAGACTAACAGATTTATTTGTGCATAAGCTTTTGTGGGTAAAAAACCTCACTTCTTCAGATGCATGGAGTCATCTTAAGGTTTGTTATTTTAGGTTTCCTAAAAGAATTTTTAACTATATATTGCCCTACTTAAAAAGGAACATCCTTAAAGCAAAAGGGATGCAGGTGAGTGTGAGAGTTTGAGTCAGATTTTTAACCTTAGAGTCAGATTTTTAAATTTTACTAGGTGTAAATCCAGATTTCCTTCTGAAATTCAATGGAATTATTCCACATTTACAGTAGTGTGACTGAGAGCTGCATCTTGACTCAGTCTTCCAAACTCCATGTGATCCGTTTGTGTACAAATGTAGGTTAACTGGCCATACAGTTTTTCTCCTTTTTTTACCACAATCCTGTCCTGTTGTAATTTTAAGAGGACCTCAATCTTTAGTACTAGTGGCCAGTTGCTTTTTCATGAAATTTACATTCACTCATGGGAAGGAGGGGGAGAACTTGCAATGAACTTTAATATCTGATTTGGCAGCTTTAAGTCCTTCTCTCCTCTTGTTTGATTGTTTATCACATGACACCATGGATTAGCTACAGTCCATAATTTTACTTCTTTATATATTGTTAGGGACCAAGCCGAAACTTGCTGCTCAATGGGAAATCATACCCAACAAAAGTCCGATTAATTCGTGGTGGATCCATGCCTCCAGTGAAAAGGAGGAGGATGAATTGGATTGATGCTCCGGATGATGTGTTTTATATGGCCACTGAGGAAACCAGGTAGGGAATATATGCCAATCAATTGATTCTCACTGGGGAGCCTGACAAACTCCTTTTGGTTTCTACTTTGCATTTATCATCCCTAGCACTATTCATGCACACTGATAACATGTGTATGACTGCTCAGAAAGTCTCTTCACCAGGCCTGGTGTTGCATTTTTAAAAACCCAAGCAGCTGCCTATGGTGTTTCAATAGAATGGATCCCTGGCCAACTGTGTGCCACCGCAGCACTCGACAGAAAGTGGATTCATAGGGACCTAGGACTGGAAGAGACCTCCTGGGTCATCAAGTCCAGTCCCTTGCTGTCACAGGCAACTCATTATATAATCCCGGTCATAAATTTATCAAGCTCCATCTCAAAACTAGTTGGGCTGTTTGCTGCTCCTACTGTTGGGAAGCTTTTTCAGAAGCTAACTCCTCTGATTGTTAGAAACCTTCTTCTCCCTGGAACTGAACACTGCTCCTATGAATGCTGTTGATTTGAATCGGAGCAGGTGTGGATTTCTCTGTTGACTTTGAGGCCCAATGAAGTGAAGAGTGTTATCGTTACTTGGATTGACTTGGTCACCTGCTGAGGTGATCTTCCCTGAATCAGCCAGTAGTTGAGGCAAGGGTTTACCTGGGTTCTCTGCCTTCTTTAAGGAACTGCTATGATTGCCAAGCTTTTGGTGAATATTCTTGGTGCTGTGGATAGAGCAAAGGGTGTAGGAGCCTGTACTGGGAGTGACATGTTCCTACCAGGAATCTGAGGAGTTTCCTGTGGACTGGCTAAATGGATACTTGTAAATAGGCATTTTGCAGGTAGAAAGCCACAAATCAGTCTTGAGGGTCTAGGGCAGGGGTTCTCAAACTGGGGGTTGGGACCCCTCAGGGGGTCATGAGGTTATTAAATGGGAGGTCACGAGCAGTCAGCCTCCACCCCAAACCCTGCTTCGCCTCCGGGATTTATAATGGTGTTAAATGTATTAAAAAATGTTTTTAATTTATAAGAGGAGGTTGCACTCAGAGGCTTGCTATGTGAAAGGGGTCACCAGTACAAAAGTTTGAGAACCACTGGTCTAGGGGAATTGTGGAAGCTAGAATTACCATCCTGAGTTTCAGAGGAACAGCCGTGTTAGTCTGTATTCGCAAAAAGAAAAGGAGTACTTGTGGCACCTTAGAGTTTGAAACCGTGGATGAATCTAAGATGTTGAAGACAGCCTTCTTTCTTCATTGGAATGAGAAAATAACTGGAATAAAATCCCCTGACCCTGAACTCTCTGGGCATCTCCTCCTCTGCTCTCAGGTGTTGAAGGTGTCACGGAGTGTGGGGGAGTCTGGGCCCTGCACCCCTCTTCCTGGGATTCACCGTGACTCTCAGCCAGCCAGTAAAACAGAAGGTTTATTGGACAATAGGAACACAGTCTAAAACAGAGCTTGTGGGTACAACCAGGACCACTTAGTCAAGTCCTTCTGGGGGGCAGGGAGCTTAGACCTCAGCCTTGGGGTTCCCTGCGTTCGACCAGCCAGCACAAAACTGAAACAAAAAACTCCTCCAGCAGGCTCTCTCCTTTAACCTTCGTCCAGTTTCCCCGGCAGAGGTGTTACCTTCACCATCCCCCTCCTGGCTCAGGTTACAGGCTCTCAGGTATCCCATCCCCAGTGAAACTCCCCTGCCACATTCCCAGGTCAACATTCCCCCCTCCCTGCTGCATCACAGAAGGCAGTCCATTTCTTGCTTTAACAGTATCTTGTGAGGGTCCCTGAGAGAGAACAGGGAAGGTAGGAGGAGAAGGGGTACGAAGGGACTGGAACTGAATAGAATACTGCCTCTTCACAAGCACCAGGACCCAGTGGTCCAAGGTGATTACAGTTCAGGCTTCCTGAAAACATGAGGGTTTACCAAAGGGGAGGAGAGGTGGAAAGGAAAATATCCTTGGGTGGTTCTGTCAGGCTCTCCACATGGGCATCAAATCTGCTGCCTTGTGGAAGCACCTGATTGTGGGGGCAGCTGAGGCAGGGGGTCATCTTCAATGGAAGCTCTTTCTGTAAAATTCGTGCTGTTGTATTCCATGGCCAGAAGGGGAGAATGTGGAGAAAAACAAAAGTGAAACTTCAGAAATACCAGATTTTGAATACTAAATAAAAAATACTGATTTGGAATGAAAACTTCAATTTGAATATTTTAGGAAGAAAATGAGTGTTTGTGACCAACTTTATAAAAACATTTCTGTACGTAAAAATGTGGGAATCTCCTTTTTCCAATGGAATAAATTCCTTGGCTCCATAGCAGTCAATGGCAAAGCTTCTGTTGGAGTTGATCAGGTTTTCACCTCTTCTTTCTAGCTCTAGAAGAGCACAAGATACCAAATATCCAGGTAATGACATTTTTGCACATAGGAAAGCTGTTGCAAACACGGGATTGAATATTACCCATTCTTGGGCTTGGGCCTGTGTAATTTTGGCAAAGAAATGCCAGGATTTTCTACTTTTGTGACAAACTCCTTTTTATTTTCACTGTCTGTAGGAAAATTCGCAAGCTGCTTTCATCCTCTGAAGCGAAGCGAGCCGCCAGACGCCCTTACAAGCCCGTTATCCTCCAGCCAGTCCAGGCAGTCCAGTTACGACAGCCCATGAATGATGAACCCATAATCATTGAGGATTAAAAGAAACTGAGCAGCCCTCACAATGCCAGTGGGTCTGCCTGAAAGAATCTCTCTTCCGATACACACTTGAGGTTTTTATGGCTACGGTGTTGAATGAACTGCTGAAGACTGGAAAACTTTAAGGAACTGTTCTGCATCTTTTAAATCCCTAAAAGGAACTCAGCCCCATCTGAGCCCTGATGACCACAGACTGTGCGCTCAATCTCTTGCGCATGCTCTTTCCTCTCCTCTCCTCTCCTCTCCTCTCCTCTCCCTTTTTTATTTTTGGTAGCCTATTTTCCCCTCTTGCTTGTAGATTACTCTGCCTTTTTGTAGACATGTGGGAAGGAAGGTCAGTTTAACTTATTAAGAGAACGTGGAATAGTAATTTTTAGCTTTGTTTCCTCTGACCTTTGAAGAGCTAGACTCCTTTGTTTTGTGACTGAGCTCTCATTGCTAACCATTTTTACAAGGCTGTGTTGTAAGATTTTTGTGTGTGTGTGTGTGGACGGTGCCATTTTTTTCTTTTTTGTTATTTCTTTTGTAGATAAAGTTCTGATCTGTAACTCAGATATTTGGAAATAGAGGATTTGAAAGCCAGCTACAGGTTCAGCTAGTTTTCTTGGTCCTGTCCCTTGTGTTTTTTGGATAATTTGGCATGGCCAATTTTGCTTGTCCTCAGGCACAAGACAGAAACAACTCAGGCTGAAAAAGGAGTGAGCTAAGAACTGAAGAATCTTGCAGAACATTACACTAACGCTGAAGAACTGAGGCCAGGTTACTGTAACTAGCTGTTTTATTCCAGTCAGTCCCAGGGAGATCTGGCCTGTGGCGTTTTTCACAGTAACCAGAATTTTGTGTGCTGCCTTCTGTCTGCTTCTGGAATCCTACGTGCTATTATAACAACAAGGACCAGCAGTAGGCCCTCTAGTGCAACTAGTGTAATGAATTGCTTTTCTCTGGCTCCAAGAGTCAGGTCCACTGATGCCCAGGGACATTTTGCTTTGAATTCTGAACCTATTTGTGCATCAGTGTTTTTTGAACACACCTCTCCACAGGAAGCCTGGTTTCTGTTACATTACATTACTGTACATTTCCCATTTTGAAGGGAATTTCAAATTAAATTACAACTGGGTTTTAATTAGAACAGACTGTGTCTGAAATTGTTTTCCTCTTGACATTTTTGTGTTTGAGGTTTTTCTTTTTTTGCATCTCCTGAACTTATTGTGTATTAGCAAGTCTGTAATTTTTTTCGTATGTCTTCTCATGGCAGTGCATTTGCTTAATGCCCTGCTTTGTTTTGACAGGTTGTAAACTATCATTTGCAACTTGTGTTGATCTGTACATGTACCTGCCTCAAACAGACACAGCATGTAATAATGCCCAAGTCATTCCACATGTGTCAGCAGTGAGATGAGCCAAAGTTGTATTTGGGTTATCACAGTCCAGCCGTGATTCTGTGCAACACTGCTACCCCTTTGGGTGAGGTCAAAAGGAATCTCCGCAGAACAAAAACAGTTCAGTTAACTTTGCTTAATAAACCTGGAACCCGAGCTTTTGTGAAACTGCTGGTTTTTTGTCTATGTTCTGAAATGTTAACTCAAACTTGACCTTTGCCAAGGCACCATCTGCCTGTGGAATGTGGAGCTGCACCTGCTTCCTAGAAATTGCTTTGATTGAAAAGTGCTTGGATAACTCTGCTGCTGTGAACTAGAACTTCTTCACGTGATTGCTCTGTCAGTCTGTTATTTTGGGCAAGCCTAATTCATAGTTTGATCCCACCAATATACTTAGTGTATGTCTAACTACGTTTTAAAATCTGCGGCAGCAACTCAGAGTCCAGCTCTTCAGACTTAGGGTTGCATATCGGCACTAAAAACAGGTATGTAGACATTCTGGCCTCGGTTCTGAAACTCATCCCGCTCCCCAAGCTTCAGAGCCCGAGCCTGAATGTCTACATAGCTGTTTTTAGCGCTGTAGCATTAACCCAGGCTCTGAGACTCACTGCCAGGGGTTTTAAAATGCAGCGTAAGCATAGTCTGAGATACCGCTAACCTTTTTGAGTCTGGAAGATTAAATTATTTTTAACTCCTGTACCATGGATCTTTTAGGGATGAGGGGACAGGACTCTGAAAACTGCCCTTCATGAAAACAATAGATTCGACAGTGAAGCTTTTGAATGATCCTATTGCGTGTGACCTATATCCTCAAACTGAGCAGGGGTGTAAGTGTGACATGGCAGGATAGAATCCCAGTGGGTTAACTTCTGAATATGTGGCCATTTAAATATTTCTCTTCTGCATTAACTCACTACCAGGATGAGCAAAGTTAGTTCAGCTGCAGTGCTTTCGAGTGGGGACAACCTGATTCTTGTAGTTTGTACTATTTGTGCTGCCGCCACATACTTTATATTCTCCCTTCACTGCTGACCCCCAACTTCAAAAACCAGAGAGGACAGCCAGGGGTTGAAAGAAATGTCAGATGTGCAAGGCAGCCATGTCCAGTAGCATGGTGTGTCCTAGGCCATGGTGGAGTGTTGGTGTAGTAATACCGATTTGTGCCCGCAATACCACTTCCTGCACTAACAGTTTTCATTTGTTTGTCATGCACATGTGGCATAACTCTACCCTTTGCATGTGAGGTCTGATGAGCGACACTGCCTCAGGCTGTTCGCTACAGGAAGGCCTCAAGTCCAGTGGCATGTGACTTTCCTCTAGGAGGAGGAGAACAACCTGAAGTGACTACTCTGGAAATTGCAAAATTAAGTCCTTGTAGGCCACTCTGAAAAGACTCTTTATTTTTAACTTATCACTTCAAGATGGGATGCAGAGATAAAGTTTCTTGACACCTTAAATAACGGCTTCTTGGAGCAGCTAGTCCTGGAACCCACAAGGGGAGAGGCAGTTTTTGATTTAGTCCTAAGTAGAGCACAGGCTCTGGTTCAAGAGATTATATAGTTGGGCACCTTGGTAATAGTGACCATGATGTAATTAAATTTAACATCCTTGTGGCAGGGAAAACACCACAGCAGCCCAATACTGTAGCATTTAATTTCAGAAAGGGAGACTACACAAAAATGAGGAAGTTAGTTAAACAGAAATTTAAAAGGTACAACCCCAAAAGTGAAATCTCTGCAAGCTGCATGGAAACTTTTTGAAGACACCATAACAGAGGCTCAACTTACATGTATAACCCAAATTAAAAAACCTAGTAAGAGACCCAAAATAGTGCCACTGTGGCTTAACAATGAAGTAAAAGAAGCAATGAGAGGCAAAAAGGCATCCTTTAAAAAATCCTAGTGAGGAAAATAGAAAGGAGCATAAACTCTGGTAAATGAAGTGTAAAAATATAATTAGGAGGGTCAAAAAAGAATTTGAAGAATAGCTAGCCAAAGACTCAAAAATTAATATCAAATTTTTTTTTTTACGAACATCAGAAGCAGGAAGCCTGCTAAAAAAACAGTGGGGACGATTGAGATGTTAAAGGAGTACTCAAGGATGATAACTAAATGAATTCTTTGCATTGGCTTCACGCCTGAGGGTGTGAGGGAGATTTCCAAACCTGAGCCCTTCGTTTTAGGTGACAAATCTGAGGAACTGTCCCAGACTGAGGTATCATTCAAGGAGGTTTTGGAACAAATTGATAAACTAAACAGCAATAAGTCACCAGGACTACATGGTATTCACCCAAGAGTACTGAAGGAACTCAAATGTGAAATTGCAGAACTACTAACTGTAGTTTGTAACCTATCATTTAAATCAGCTTCTGTACCAAATGACGAGCATAGCTAATGTGACACCAATTTTTAAAAAGGGGCTCTAGAGGTGATCCTGGCAGTTACAGGCCAGTAAACCTGAGTTCAGTACCGGGCAAACTGGTTGAAACTATAGTAAAGAACAAAACTGTCAGACAGATAGATGAACATAATTTGTTGGGGAAGAGTCAACATGTTTTTTTAAAGGGAAATCATGCCTCACCAATGTACTAGAATTCTTTGAAGGGGTGTACAAGCATGTGGACAAGAGGATCCAGTGGATATAGTGTTCCTAGATTTTCAGAAAGCCTCTGACAAGGTTCCTCACCAAAGGCTCTTAAGCAAAGTAAGCTGTCATGGGATAAGAGGGAAGGTCCCCTCATGGATGGGTAACTGGTTAAAAGACAGGAAACAAAAGGTAGGAATAAATAGTCAGTTTTCAGAATGGAAAGCGGTAAATAGTGGTGTCCCCCAGGGGTCTGTACTGGGATCAGTCCTTTTCAACATATTCATAAATGATCTGGAAAAAGGAGTAATAGTGAAGTGGCAAAATTTGCAGATGATACAAAACTACTCAAGATAGCTACGTCCCAAGCAAACTGTAAGGAGCTACTAAAGGATCTCTCAAAACTGTGTGACTGGGCAACAAAATGGCAGAGGAAATTCAGTGTTGATAAATGCAAAGTAATGCACATTGGAAAACATAATCCCAACTATACATATAAAATGATGGGGTCTAAATTAGCTGTTACAACTCAGAGATATTGGGGATATAGTTCTGTGAAAACATCCACTCAGTGTGCAGCGGCAGTCAAAAAGAAAACAAAATGTTGGGAATGGTTAAAAAGGGATAGATAATAAGACAGACAATATCATATTGCCCCTATATCAATCCATGGTACACCCACATCTTGAATACTATGTGCAGATGTGGTCACCCTATCTCAAAAAAGATACATTGGAATTGGAAAAGGTTCAGAAAAGGGCAACAAAAATTATAAGGAGTATGGAACAGCTTCCATATGAGGAGAGATTAATAAGACTGGGAGTTTTCAGCTTGGAAAAGAGACTAAGGGGGGATATGACAGAGGTCTATAAAATCATGACTGGTGTGGAGAAAGTAAACAAGGAAGTGTTTACTCCTCATAACACAAGAACTAGGGGTCACCAAATGAAATTAATAAGCAGCAGGTTTAAAACAAAGACAAGGAAGTGTTTTTTTCATACAATGTGCAGTCAACCCATAGAACTCTTGGCTAGAGGATGTTGTGAAGGCCAAGACCACAACAAGTTTCAAAAAAGAGCTTGATAAATTCATGGAGGATAGGTCCATCAATGGCTATTAGCCAAGATGAGCAGGGATGGCATTCTTAGCTTCTGTTTGCCAGAAGCAGGGAAGGGGCAACAGGGGATGGATCACTCGATGATAGATTACCTGTTATGTTCATTCCCTCTGGAGCACCTGGTATTGACCACTGTCAGAAGACAGGATACTGGGCTAGATGGACCTTTGGTTTTACCCAGTATGACTGCCAAGCCCTCTCAGAGGTCCAGAGAGGCCTGGGCCACTTCCAGCTTTTGAGGCCCCAATCTATAATAAAAATAAAAAATGACGACACATGAAAACAAAATAAGGCACCAAAAAAAGTGAGACATAATTTGAATATTTTTTTATTTAACAAATACTTTTCTAGCCTTTTTCTGTGCAAATGCACTAATTATTCAGGAAAAAATCTAGCTTCCATGCAATATCACAGTTGATATTAAGCATGGCGAGCCCATTCAAATGCTCTTGTCCCATAGTTCAACAGTGATAGTTCTTTACCTTTTTCAACACGTTGAAGGTGCGTACAGCTGAAGTCACTGATACAGGCAAACTGACAAATGCGCAATGCAATTGTGATATTAGGAAACCCCAGAGGGTCCAAGTTCGAGTATTTCTTGAAGCAATTCCTTTGGCTTGCAATCCAATTTAAATTCCAATTCATGGAATATATTCGTTTGAGGAAGATGACCTCATTACTGAGATCTTTTGAGATTTCTTTTTTGTACTCTTTGCTGAAATTGTTCAGCTGCGGAAAGTAGATCTTCATTTCTCAGTCTGTTGAACTACCAAAGAAACCCCAAAAGGGTACAAATTAGTCACAGTGACTCAAATGACCTGTAAGACCTGAATGAATAGAGTCAATGATGACAAGGAAGACCTTGATCCTATAATGCTGCTTGGTATCAGATTCAGTAGGTCAGTTGCGATTGGAGAACTCAGATGAAATGTCAATTTCTGTGCTACTAATTTGGACTCAGGATCGCATTCCATTGTTCACGAATCTGTTGAATGTCATTGATAAGACTTTCAATGTTATCCCTCTCAACATCAGGTGTAGCATTGCGTGCTTCAATTACCAGATTAGTAGCTTCATCCACAAAGATGACATCAGAATGCATTCAAATTTGAACATGTGCTTCTGAATAGACTGAAGTTCAGTTCGAGCCTGTGCAGTGAGATTGAGAGATTCCAGCTCACTTAAAGCCTTTCTCGTTGAATTTAAATGCTGTGCAACTGGTTGAACACCATCAATCTGTGCAGGCCATCTAGTTTTGGCCATCCCATGCAGTGAAACAGGAAGATATTGTTTCAGAATTTCCCACCTTTATGGACTGCTACTGAAGGATTGAACATTTGCTAAACAGTTCCAAAGCAAGTAATTGCCTCCTTGACTGTGCTGAATCATGCAACACCTACAAGGTTTAGTGTGTGGTTTCTACAGTTGGAGAAAATAGTTCAAATTATGCTCAAGCAGAACTGCTTGT